ACTTACACTCTCAGCCTGCGTTTCAGATCGTTAATTTCTACTAGTAAATTCTGTACGTCGTTATTCAAAGGTTCTCTTTGCTAACAATATTTTTCTATCTGCGGTTTCAAGTGCTGTTGTCAAGTCAAGAAACACAGCAATGTAAGAGATGGTAATAGAAATATAACGATAAGCGTAAAAACAATAATTCCACCTTACAAGCGTTCGAAGTACTACCCTGTACCTTTTCACTTTCATTACGAGAGTAGTACATACACAACTTAACAAGGGCTTCAATGGCAGGATAATTTTAAAGCCACTTACTTGGTGACGTTAACGACAGAGTTGTTCTTCCTTGGCGAGAGATACGGTCGATAGAACTGCGTTGTCGGGGCCAAGCCTATTTTTGGGAGAAACCTTTTGAGTACCTTCCATATTCTATCGACTCATGACATGCACAACTCTACCGTCTATTCATTATGTTAATTAGGTGTCTCGATACTGATCGCAAAACAATATAATAATGGCCATGATATTTCTCACTTATATTATTATAAATTATAATACCTTGCATGGGGGAACGGTAGCTTCCTACCGCATGGAAGTCACGCCCGTGTCCATAATCAGGCGAACGGTAGCTTCCTACCGCATGGAAGTCACACCTGATATGGAAATATAATACCTTGCACGGGGGAATGGTAGCTTCCTACCGCATGGAAGTCACGCCCATGTCCATACTCGGGGGAACGGTAGCATCCTACCGCATTGAAGTCACGCCCGTGTCCATGACAAGGGGAACGGTAGCTTCCTACTGCATGAAAGTCACGCCTGATATGGAAATATAATACCTCGCACGGGGGAACGGTAGCTTTCTACCGCATGGAAGTCACACCCGTGTCCATGATCAGGGGAACGGTAGCTTCCTACCGCATGGAAGTCACGCCTAATATGGAAATATAATACCTCGCACGGGGGAACGGTAGCTTCCTACCGCATTGAAGTCACGCCCGTGTCCATGATCAGGGAAACGGTAGCTTCCTACCGCATGGAAGTCATGCCTGATATGGAAATATAATACCTTGCACGGGGGAACGGTAGCTTCCTACCGCATGGAAGTCACGGCCGTGTCCATACTTGGGGGAACGGTAGCTTCCTACCGCATTGAAGCCACGCCCGATATGGATACCTTTATAATCGGTGCTTAGACAGATATGCCAAGTACTTGATTGTTACGAAAAGCAGCCCAGAAACCAGGATATCACGTTGCCGTGTCCATACCCAAAAGCTCTGACTGAGAGATAACCGAGCAGCGGACAACTTTAAGTAACAATCCCTATACACATCTTGCCATGAGATACTTTCAGACTCCTGCGATTGCCTCGAGAAGAACCTAGGCGGTCACACAGACCCAGGATACCACGCCGGCCTATGCCCGTTGTGTCAATACCCAATACGCTCCGACATTTCCTCTGACAGAAGAAACCGAGCAGTAATTCCCCCGATGGCAACCCGGTTTTGTAGGTCTCATAACAACCTCCAGGATATGCAGCCGTCACACTTCTGTAGATGTTTGACGCTAAGTTACCTTTAACTTTATCTTAACTGTTGATAAACATATCTCATCTGACTAGCTTTGACTTATTACAATTATTATCATGATTATAAGGGTACCATGGTTAGAAAATTCGCATGACATGCAGTACAGCAAAACAATAAAAGATACTCAGTGAAAACCCTCACCGTTTGATTGATCGACCCTTGACCTGAACTTGATATTCACAAAATCACAACATACAGACACTTCCACCTTTCAACTGTTAGAACAATATCAGAATGAACTAAGAGGGCCTGTGCCTCAGCGTGCCTTTGGTTTCACGAATACGCAGGGTCGTAAGTAGTTGTTGAAATGTGTATGCCAGGAGTGCCTTTCTTAGCATTCTAAGTGTCAAGCGACACTTTTACAGAGTGACTCACATGCAGAAAAGTGTCTAAAATATTGTGTATGCTTACAGCAATAACACACTTGTTAATGTCAACTTCATTTTTCAATTTACCAACAGTTAATTGAATAGCAGTTTCAGCAGAGTTCATCTTACGAATTGCTGTTTTCCAATACAGAAGTCAAATTACTACCCGTTATTCATGACTCGAAACTTTGTTGTTAATCGTGGATTTCGTCGGCATGGATCAATTGTGGTTTGTATTAAGCCCTGACGGTTTGATGCTATAAATATTTACAATGAACGTGTTTTCTGCTTTCTGTTAAAACATACGGAACCAATAGCGCTTTTATTATAGTATAAATCGTGGGTTGAGAGATTTTAAAACTTGTTTTCATAATATTTTCGGGCGAAACACATACACGTTACATTGAAATTTATTGAACCTATGATAGATATATTAATTCTGTGAAGCATTACTTATCGACACAGAATGAAAACATATGGAACGTTAATTTCTTAATGAAAATAGTTATGGACATAGTTATGGAATTGAAGAAAGGATATAGTCTAATCATATTAGATGAAAATGGTTTGCGAAATAATAGTAAAGTCTGGTTTTATTGCTGTAAGGGGATATTTAAAACATACACTCATAAAATAGGTACACCAATTTTGGTGGGAAGACTTTTTATTCGACAACAAAGAATGAGAAAACGTATTTTTTGAGTGTTGGCAGGATCGAAAAAACTCTTCATATGAGATTTTTAGGTATTTATGAGACTTACAAAATGAGACTACACGTAAAAAGATCCCACTATGTAATAGCAAAAGAGTTATGGCCGAAAACTGAGGCAAACTGCATGATTTGGCACTTATTGGTAATGCGACGATGGTTTCTCGAAGATATTTGAATTCTTAAAATTCGAAGGACTCATACTTCTAAATAACCACAACAAAATTGGAGTAAATTGATCAAGTAGTTTTTGATAATTTCTAATTGTTTAACTCAAAACGCCTGTTTTCTGGTCATCACTATTAGTTTATTGAGAAATATACAGGGTTAGTTCAAAGGACATTTTATAGCAAAATACGCTATAGTTTACCTTGCCTACGAGCCCCTTCCCACTTCAGTTGGCCCAACTATTGAAATCTTAGTTTTTTTCTTATCAAACACAAATAATAAAAATGTAGCAGGGTGTTATAGGTTTAAAATATTAACAATTAATATTTTGATAATATATAGTAGAAAACACTTTATCACTCCCTAATCAAATTTGCAGCATAACACATGTTGCAATTACAGCATATCAACCTATTTTCATTTCAATGCAAAATAAGTCTATAACGCATAGGTGGCAGTGAAAAATAAAAGCCATGAAAATTGTTTTTATTAATCACAGCTGTCAGAATACGTTTAAAATAGTTTTGGGTAGTTAAGGTTTTCAAAATGGGTAGAGGAAAGGTTATTAGTGAGAAAATTCGGTTACTGATAATTAAATTTTTTAATTCTGGGAAATCAAACTCAGAAATTGCAACTTTGTTAAACTTATCGCGGTACAGTGTGAGAAATATTGTTAGAAGATATAACGTAACTGTTTCAGTTAATATTGTGCCACGATAAATGAAAAAAAGGTAATACCACAAATGCCGACCGAACAGCATTAAAAAGAATAATCGTGAAAAACAGGCGTGCCAATTATTTACAATTAAGTGCTCTGTGGAGTGACGCTGTTGGAAGGAGAATTTCGAGGTACACAACTCATAGAGAGGCCCACAAACTGGGATTTAGCACTTGCAAGGTAAGTTTTCTTACAAAAAAAAAGTGAAGTAAAAACCCTAAAGTTGCAACTTGTTTATAGGCCAAAGAAAAGCCACTATTAACTCCACTGCAAAAAAAATCGGCCTTGATGGGCTAAAGAACATAGACAATGGTCACCTCATCAATGGTGTGATACAATGAAGTGATGAGGCCCGATTCGAAGTTGTGTTGGTGTCAGTCGTAGTAGAGTTATTCGCAAAAAAATGAAGCATTCCATGTTGACTGTCTGAAGAGAAAAGTGAAATTTCCAGCATCCATTATGGTCTGGGGCAGTATGTCATGAAAAGGAGTAGAATTTTAGAAGAATCGCTTGTACCATTGATGGAAGTATGTTTGACATCCGGCCAAGATTTTGTGTTTCAGCAAGATGGTGCAGCGTGCCATACTTCAAAAGAGGCTATAAAATGGATGGAACAAAAATAATGTACCACTTTTGAAATGGGTTTCTAGCAGTCCAGATCTGTCACCTATTGAAGCTTTATGGCACGAGAAGAAAAAGGATGTACGACAACATCCTGCTCGTACAATCACCGAACTGAGACAAAAGCTTCAAGAAATATGGGATTGTTTTACACCAAATTTTTGCCAAAACTTGGTTAACATTATGCCCCCCAAAGAATTTCAGCCGTAATAAAAAATAAAGGTGATGTTACCCAATGGTAATCGTTCAATTGTTGCTTTGTTAACTTCGCGCATTTATTCGCACATTGTTTATTTGTTCAGATGTTCTACTAGTTATAGGTCTAAGGCCCGTATCGTCAGTCGTCCCTACAATTGTAGGGCGCCTTTATGGCCTCCTTGATTGTCATAGTTTTCTACTTCTCCGTGTCAGAACTCTATTTTGAGGTTATGTCACAAACATCTATTTGCATCAAATTGTGCTTGCTTTTGTGTTATATCATGTTTTTTAGCCTGAAATTTCCTACAATTTAAAAAAAAAATAATAGGAGAGCGCTGACGCTGACACGGGACAAGTGTAATCTAGAAATTTTTGAAGGAGAGAAAGCAGTATGACAATCAAGGAGGCCCTAAACGCGCCCTACAATTGTAGGGACGACTGACGATACGGGACTAAGATCATCATTATCACCGAGGCCCTGGTCGAAAGTCCTATCTCAATACATCTTCCAGATGTTTTACATTACGAGATACAGAATCACAGTCGTTTGTCAACCTTAGTTATTGTAGTCTCTAGAAGAATACTTGTACTCTGAGACAAGAGCGTGATTCTTCATAAATCCACTGGAATATTCCAGCAAATGTCACTAACAGCTTCTAGATGGACTGTATTAGAACAAGGTACTAAAGAGGAGATAAGATGGTTGCAAGTAGTACAACAAAGGGCTCCTGACTTGAATAGCGTCACATCAGCAGGTTATGACAGGTATATACATCTTTATTAGTCAGTTGAGGCTGATATTGATTACCACCATGCCAAGTTTTTCTATATGTTTTAACTACTGTCTATTGTGCGACGTTCTGGCCACCACAATTTTCATTGTACTAGAAAAGTGTCACCGTGGTGGCTGAGACGTCGTACAATAAACAGTCATTACAACACATGTGGTTTAACTTAGAGGTCATACAATATAATACGAAAGAAGTAGTAGAAAAAGAAGGGAAAAAGAGTTGTACATCTTAAGAACATTATCACAGATAGTTGTATCTTATGCGAAACTACAGAGGTATATAAAGAACTATAGACAATTTTCTGTTCTGTTTTGAGTGATTGAGCTGCCATCTATTCAACAAGTCAATGTATAAAATATAGTTTCAAGGATTACAAAGTTCAATAAAAACTAGATCGAATTCGGTCACTCAGAGTCATTGGACCCAAAAAAAAATGTGTTTGATATAAAACAATTATTGAGCTAATGAAACAATTGTGTCAAATTTCGGACAATGAACTGGATGCAGGTTAGCCAATTCTGAGCAATTTTAATGATAGCCCCAATACGTTTCAGTGAACTGACATCAATTTAAGCAATTCGATGCTTTTTTATTGGTAGGTCAATCAATTTAGTCATGTTGATGTCTTCATATTTAATTTTTCACCAGAAGGTTTGGCGTCATGTTGAGTAAATCATGCTTTTGCTCAAGGCAAAATTCTGTTTCAGTTTATCTTATTAGTAACACACTGAATTACTCAATTGTAAACAAATTATGTGAGGATCGTATTTATATCTAACAAGACGACTGGTGTCTAAAGTTTAAGCTTTCATTTTTATGACTAGTTGCTGCAATTTTCGAAACGACTTCCCTTCCTGTACGATCAATCCAGTCTACAGCTTTGCTGATGACAGCACTCTACATGCAGGAATTCAGAGTGACAAGCCGATTCCTGCCGGTGAGCTGGAAAAAAGAAGACTCGCAGCGACTTCCTCTCTGACGATAGAACTGGGACCTGATTCTAAATAAATTGCGGCCTTTGAAATTCATTTGTATAGTGCCTTGTGACAATGTACTTGATTCGCTATACCTAATACTCTTGACAATGCCATGATAATTTGAATATAGAAGATGGATATGAGGAGATATCAAAATTATTATAGCGAGTCAATTATATTGCCACAAGGCGCCATCGAAATTAATTTCAACTGTTGAAACTCATTCAGAATCAGGCCCCTGGAGGATATCACTGCTTGGCGCGCGATATGCCTGCCAGTGTCGAACTTCGTACGTCTAGAACTGGCCGATATGACCGCTCCTTTGTCCCTTGAGTGTCAAGATGGTGGAACAATCTACAAGAGCTTCTGTCTGCGCGACTACGCGGTGTAAAAAAATGACTTGTTTGAAGGGTAGATCTCCAACGTGAATATGCAAATAAGCTTTTCTATTGAATATGTAATAAGAAGAGAAACAAAAGGCACTATGACCATGTAACTCTATTTCAAGTAGAGTGAGATTTTACTATGACTATTTACAAAAAAATTAAACCAGTTTTCAAAAATTTCGCTGATTTCATTTTGCTTGAAATGAATTATGGGTACAAATTATTTCCAACAATAAAATGCACATATTTATGATGATTGGTATATTTTTAGACATCAATGTTCACATACTCATACGTTTCAGATATAGTATATTCTCTCTTCGTTTATATGCCAAATACTTGACAGTCTTCCAAAAGTATGTTGTAAAGGAACACAAAGGTAACAGCTAATCGTAAAATTGAAGTAAGTATCCATCAGTTTCATGTTTTGATTGCTTTTCAAAACCGCACCAGCTAACATGGTGTTTTGAATTTTCTGAATAACTATTATAATTGACATTTGTCGACCTTTCTATTCTATAGTACCAATAAATGTCCCATCATAATATGTTGAATCCAAAGATAATATTAATAATTATATATAATTATTTTTAACTATTGAAGTCCAAAATCTTGGAAATGGAACATCCGAAATGGATGCAAAGTTCGTAGGGTATTGAATAAGTACAGAAATGTGAAAAATGTTTTCGAATAGTAGATCCTCGGACACTACTTCCGGGAGTCGGTAATTTCCAGTGTGGATATCGCATACAGTGCTACTTGTATGGATACAAATTGTTAACAGTCATTTTTTTATGAAGCTGGACATTCTATCCGGATCTAAGTCAGCGCACTTTGCGTTTCGTCATGGGACTTAAGGGCTTAAGGGGGCACCGAAACACGGTTTATGGAACCAGAGTAAAATGTATGCTTCCAAAATCATGAAGCTCTGGCGACCCACGCGCAGCCCTTTGATCGGCATTAACCATTCAGGTACCGTTTACTCTAGACCTTGGAGGCTCATCATACTCATAACTTTAGAACATTTTAGTTTGTTTTTGAAAAAATGGATGTCATGAATATGGCCGTCTACTTGTCCCTCAAACTAGATAATAATTATACTATTTGTATATAAGACAGGCCCCTCATTCTCATATTAAAGCAGGAATTAAGAAATGACCTGGCCCCGATTTACGGCTAGGGCACAAAGTCCACCAATGAAAAAGGATTTGAGATATAGTCGGAAATTCGACCAATCAAAAATAAAGATTTGAGAAGCTGCTCGAAACATGGATCAACTCTGACACCCACAATACTGACATCGCTATTATTACTTAGCCTTGCATTCTCTCGCTAGGTAGATAATTATGTTTTCCATTTCGCATCTGAAAAATATTACGATTTCTTTTTTCACATAATTTTAATCAGAAAAAAATTGTGTCAAAACTGTTTTAAGCAATTTTTTTAAAAGAAATTCGAATAATTGTTTTTTTGTTTCTTTTGTCCGAGATCATTTTGAACATAGAACGTTCCATGCACTTTTTTCTATACTTGGTAGTTTTCGAGATATAAATAATTTAATATTTGAAAAAGTGCAAGATTATGACCTTTTGGATCCCGAAAATATATATGGAAAAATAAAAACTTTTAGTGTTTGCAAAGATCCAAAATATTCAAACATTCTGTAACAAAATGTTTAAGCATTTTAGGGGCTATTATAATAATAATAATAATAATAATAATAATAACGCCTTTATTTGTTGTACAGGTGAGGGACAAAGATAGCGAAGTTTAGCCTAGGCTACTCTTACACTTAACTATCTTTGTCAGTACATTTAGAGCACGATGTAATGTGCGTTGCCAAGATGTTATAAAAAAAATTATAGTTATAACTAAACTATTCTGTAAACTAAAATATGAAACTATATACAGTATGTACATGGATACATATATACACATATATATCTACACATACATATATATACACATATATACACATACACATACATACACATACACATACACATACACATACACATACATAACATACATATACACACACATATATACTAAGTGACATATAAATCCGAACACCCAGTTTAAATGGTTTTATTTTAATAAAATTTTGTATAAGTACTTAATGAAGCATAATAAGTAAATGATAAAAATTTCAAAATGATTGCACTGCTTTAAAAACCTTTGACCTTTAATAATGTGTGGATGCACACTGATGTGCTACGCATTCTCCAACGCGCCTAGGCATGCTTCTGATCAGGTGGTCAATGTCCTCCTGTGGTATCTCATTCCAGGCAACCACCAACTCCTCTCGAAGTGCTTCTAGAGTCTGAGGAGGACGTTGCAAATTGAGCAATCTCCTACCCATCATATCAAACACGTGCTCAATTGGGGATAAGTCGAGAGATCTTGGTGGCCATGGTAACAATGTGACATCATTATGTTGAAAGAAGTCTATTGTGACTCTTGCAACATGTGGTCGGGCATTATCTTGTTGGAAAGTTGGATCTGCCAGGGTGTCACGATAGGGTAAAAGATGGGGTTCTAGAACGTCGTGGATATAACGCTGCGCGTTCATGTTACCTCTGATGAAGATTAAAGGTGACCTGGTACCATAAGCTATAGCACCCTAAACCATAACTCCAACAGTGTGATGAACATGTCTTTCAACAAAAAACTGTGGATTTCTCCTTTCACCACGTCGCCTTCTAACCCTGGCACGACCATCGTGCATGCCTAAACAAAATCGAGACTCGTCACTAAAGACAATACTGTTCCATTCCTGATCCCAGAGTGACCGTTGTCTGCACCACTCAAGGCGATTACGTCGGTGTAAGGGTTAGAAGGCGACGTGGTGAAAGGAGGAATCCACAGTTTTTTGTTGAAAGGCATGTTCATCACACTGTTGGAGTTATGGTTTGGGGTGCTATAGCTTATGGTTCCAGGTCACCTTTAATCTTCATCAGAGGTAACATGAACGCGCAGCGTTATATCCACGAAGTTCTAGAACCCCATCTTTTACCCTATCTTGTCACCCTGGCAGATCCAAATTTCCTACAAGATAATGCCCGACCACATGTTGCAAGAGTCACAATAGACTTCTTTCAACATAATGATGTCACATTGTTACCATGGCCACCAAGATCTCCTGACTTATCCCCAATTGAGCACGTGTGGGATATGATGGGTAGGAGATTGCTCAATTTGCAACGTCCTCCTCAGACTCTAGAAGCACTTCTGGTTGCCTGGAATGAGATATCACAGGAGGACATTGACAACCTGATCAGAAGCATGCCTAGGCGCGTTGGAGAATGCGTAGCACATCAGGGTGCATCCACACATTATTAAAGGGCTTTAAAGCAGTGCATTTTGAAATTTTTATCATTTACTTATTAAGCTTCATCAAGTACTTATACAAAATTTTCGGATTTATATGTCACTTAGTATACATATATACACCCATACATACCTATAATATTTAGATCCATATATACATACTGCACCAATATTAGGTACGGGTAAATACAAATTGTTTTATTTGTTTACGGAAATTGGCAGGAGACATTTCCTTGTATTTACCTGGTAAAGCATTGTAAAGTATGGCAGCATATAAATATTTGTTTTTTGATTAATTATTACTCAAAGGCCTGTTCAAGGTATATTCTGTGTTTAAAGGTTTACATTTTATTATTTATACACTTGAAAACCTCAAAGATCATAATTTTTGACAGAACTTGTAAGCAGTGAATATGGCCATATCTAGGATGTTTTGGCGGTTTTGTTAATGAACGTTTGAAGAATATTTAGGAGCTTTGGCAACATTTAAAGTTTGTGAGGTTCCATATCGTCTTTCGAGAACGAAAATTACATTTAGAGGAAAGTTCACAATAACCTTCTCTGCTCAGAATGGCCTGAAAAACCCTGCATGAAGTTTGTCAAAAAAAATTTTTTGGGGTATGCCAGTGGCGGCTCGTGCCAATTCAGTGAGGTAGTGCCAGAATGGAAGCCATAATTTTTAATCGATTCAAAATTGTAAAGAATAACTTATAACTTACCCCTGATAGTTAGTGGTCAAAGTTCTTGAGGTTCAATAAATCTATATGTCCAAAAAAAAATCAAAAATAAAACTATTTACACACGCGCACCAAATTATAAAACAAGTGTGGAGAAGTACCTATAACTTCAAAGTTTTCTATACATGAAGTCCATTCTTCTTTCTTTTTTGGTAGCAAAGTTTTCGATTACCTTATTATTAAAATTTTCAATGCCACTAACAAAATGTTTTTCTGCAGACAGCATTCCTAAAGCACTAAGCCTTTCTTCCTGCATTGTGTTTCTGAGCAAAGTTTTAATCCGTTTCAGCATTGAAAAAGAGCGTTCTGCTTCAGATGTTGACATCGGTATAGTGATTAAAATACTTAAGAGCTTAAGAGTTTCTTGAAACGTACAATTTAATCCTTCCTCGTTCAATAAAATGGATAGTGGAACAGCTCCAGAAGTAGTTCTCAATTCTTCTCTCTGATATAATACTTGTAACTCAGTTTTAAGCCTGTTTTTGTCTAAAAATGAAAATTGTGTGCATGTGTCATTTAAATGTGCTTCAGGAAACTGATGTTTATAAACAGAAAACTTTTCAGACACAAATAAATTAGAAGCAACTAAATGTCCAGAAAAGTGAAATCTTGTTCTTATTTGCGATAATACTGCATCGCATATTTCTAACGCTTCCCGTTTTTTGCTGCCTTCTTCAACTTGCCTTTTTTTTCTTGCCGGTTCATCAGTTTCTCTCTGCACTCGTTCAATCTCGTCAATAATGCTATCCATTTGTTCTCGTATAGTTTGAATTGCTGCTTCAAAATTCTCTAAATCATTTTTGACCTTAACAGAATCGGTGCATACTTTTTGTAATTGGTTAAAGACAATTTCAACATGTGGCATTATTTTATGGAATATACTTAGCCAAAATACAAAATTTGTATCTTGCAGCTTTAATTTGTACCCACTGGCTTGATTAATCGACGAAGAATCGCGTGAAGTACTTTCTATATTGTCCATAACTTCAATCAGGTCTTTCCTATTTTCATAAACTGTATGAACACCTCATGACTGAAAATTCCAACGTGTTTGGGAAGATCTTGGCAATCTGCAATTAACTATTTCATCCAAAATTTTTGTTCTTTGAGGAGACGTCGAAAAAAAGAGCACAATCCAGATAAATTATGGAAAAATATTCTAGCCTGCTTATTGACAGAGCATGCGCTTGTCATAATTAGATTTAACTGGTGTGCATAGCAAGTTTCCTTTATAATTTTTTGAACGCCATTCAATTCACCACTCATAACAGACGCACCATCATAGCTTTGAGCTATTAATTTGTTTGGATTTTGATCTAGTAATGGATTTACAACATTTAAAACGCATGCAGCGATTGATTTGGCATCGTGTCCGTCGGGGACGTAAAATCTCCAAAATCTCTCAACTGGTTGTCCTTTACACAAATATCTGAAAATAATAACTAACTGAAATTCACAGGCTACGTCAGTCGTTTCATCGGCAATTACTGCAACAAAAGGAGAATTTGCAATCTCCTTCTTAACTTCTTCATGATAAACATCTAGCATGCACTCAAGAAGCTCGTTTTGAGTTGTTTTTGAGGTACCCTTGAAAAGTTTGGCACTTTGAATATGGACTTTCAATTCGTTGTCTAATTCGGCGCTAAAATTCACCAGCTCCATAAATATGCCTCTGTTTTCCGAATTTTCCTTTTCATCGTGACCCCTTAAGGCTAACTCAAATGCTCCACAAAACCTTATACAATTAATAATTTTATTCAATACATATCGATTCTTATCCACTTGATTATTATGTTTAATTAGATCATTGCGATAAGCCGAATTGAGTTGAGTCCTTATATTTAATTTACCAAGAATAGAAAAGCTAAAAACATTATTCATATGGACTTTAGATTTTTCGTGGGTCTTCATTTTATCCCATATATGTATAAGATCGTCTGTACCTTTTTTTGACCAAGTCTCGTCACCTCCAAATAGAACACATACAAAACAAAATAGTTTATTCGTTTCTTCACAACCACATATCCAGCTGTTTTTATCGTACACATTTTTATTAAATTTGCGACAGCGCGATTTTTGTCCGCTACCACTTTGTTTCTCAATTTTTAAATCGGGTATTGGCGGTCCTAATTCTTTAATTTGCAGTTTTTGATCCAGCGAAAAACCACTAAATGAGTTTTTTAATATCCCGATTTTATTCATTTTCACTAGTTTTAATAAAACAGAAAAAAATATGATCACAAAACAGAGCAGTTCATTAACACTAGACGTACTAAAACAAAAAAGGTATTTTTCACTTTTCAGGTAAAAAAAGACCGAAATCAGCACTAGACGTAATCATAACGAAACGACCGACCGAACAAAAACACCGCCGATATCACTTGATAACGAATTACGACTGATGATGTGCCTGGCACAAATTATACTTGTCTTTCGCTATTCACCTCATATAAAAATGTGTAGGGTAGCGTTATCTCTGTCGCTCGTATGCGATGCTAGTAAAATTTCTCTCTTTTTATTTGGGCCGGCCCAAAATTGGCACAAGTTGATGACGTCAAGGTCAAGGCGTGGTTTCCGTCTCGCGTGGTTCGGGTGCTTGCGGTGTTGTCACGTTGTCAGTGTTGTCACTTCATATAATTTATACAAAAAAAAAAATGAAAAAGCAGAAAATAAAGTAAAACATTGAAGATTGAAAAAATATTCTTTTTGAAGAAGACAAGGTAGTGCCATGGCACCGTGGCACTACCTCACGAGCCGCCACTGGGGTATGCTAAAAAAACACGTTTAAACAATTTTCGACGCAATTTTGCACCATGCAGATATGAATAATAAATAAGCCTATACAAAAAATTGATTCAGAATATTTTTATTATATATGATAGACATTAACACTCCGCAGTACGTATAAGACCCGTTGACATTTGAACACAATGTTGCCACACTTCCTACCTTGTAATTGTACACATCCGATTGGTTGCTCAAATTGATGGGGCTAACGATCGGAGCGACGCTCTTGCATCCACAACAATTGCACATTTTCCACTATATTTTGTCTGTTTTCCACTGTTTTACCTTTGTTTTTGACACAGAAACAATACCGACCGTCACCTAGACAGCAAGCACGGCACTTCTCGCAGTAGTTTAAAAAATAGTATTTTCAAAGTCATTGAACAACAATACACGACGACTGATTCACGTATTATTAGTAGAGGAATCTTGGATTTGGTTCAAGTTCACACATTTATATAATACTTTATATACTGTTTGGCACTTTGAATTATGAAAAGCTTATAGGTCAGTGAGCGTAGACGAAACAACGTCATTTATATTTCGTTAAACATGAATTTTACTCATTTACAGTACTTACAGATTGACCGCGCATTTCAAAATACTTTATCGAATTGCAACAGTGTTGCCAAGACTGCTAATTTTTCAGTAATCTGCGATAACACTTTGAAATCTTAAACTACAATATCGGAGAAACATAAGTACCTTTAAGATATTTCTAAGATTTTAGGATTCCATGCAATCTTGAAGCAACACAAGAATTTTACAGCTTTTACTTTCCACGCCAAATAACAAGGAAGTAGGTATAGGGATTCAGGAATTGACTTGATTTTAAGCTACTCGACTTAACTTGATTTGAAATCAAGTCAAGCTCAAGTCGAGTACTAGATTTTAGAAATCTGATATCGAGTCAAGCAGTTTTAACGACTGTAAAGTACTTGAAAATTCAAATAGTCTTGATATTAGTTGATAGTTTTGATAGTATAAATACATGCAGATTATAAATACATAACGGTAATACTGTTTGTCACAAGTTTCAGAGAAAACACTAGATATTGAACTAAATAATTTGTTCATCGTATAACAAATAATAAAACGATAAAACTGCAAACCCAAAATTTTGATCAGCTGATACAGAAAAATAAATATTTTTAATTAGCTTATCTTTTGATAACCACGAGTTAAGACGTTGAGGATCCTGACGTATACACAAGGGTGGTAAAAATAATGAAAGTGACAACTGACCTAATTTTGAACCACATAATAATTATTTATTTTTAAGTTCTGCCTGTAGCACAACATGTCTAATAGCTAAAAATGTATGGACATTGCATTCTGTTCTTGTAGAAAACATGCTAAATTAGCTGTTGAATTTCTTCTTTAATTTGTTTTTATGTTTATAAAAAACCTTTGTATCTGTGCAAATTTGCTTTCCATAGGTGGCGCTGATTTTTTTTTCTTCATACCGATTTTGTCATAGAATTCTAACGACACTAGCTACCGATTTTTGTAGTTTGAACATGCTGGACCTCAAGTCAAGCAGAACAATAAAAACATCAAGTCATATCAAGTATTAAAGTTCCAATTAATTTTATTGTCAGCTCAAGTAGTTTTGTGAATGTCACGTCACGAAGAAGGATGTCATTCATTCCGTCGGTCTGAATATCCTTTTTTCTGTCTGTCTGTTCTTGACCTCTTTATAACACAGAAAGTGCGAATTTTGAACTAAGGTTACTACTATACCAAAGACAGGCTAACTTTGTGAAAAGAATAAATTTTTCAATTATTCTGAAACTCCTGTACATTTTTTGGAGGGTTGGTAAATTGGCTATTGGGAGTTGATTGATAAATATTGGGTTATTAGTATCAACATTCTATTATCAAGAAGCTATTATCTAAATAAATAAACGGAAAGTTATCATTCTAGTTGCTCCTCATTTTATATCAGCAAGGCATTGATTAAATGATATTTTCGTAATTGATTTGTCATTTGTTTCAATTTTTTTATACAATTTTCCTACAGTCACTGAATTATAAAACATCAACAATTTGGCACCTTACAACAAAAAAATAAATGCGTTGCAGTAATTAATGAGTATCGTGGAGGACTTGCGGATATCATGCCAGTTATGTGGGACAACTGTCACGCTATTGACGTTATTTAGTGTAGCCTCTGAATAAATTACAACCTTTAATTCAAGAGATGATTATATACATCACTTATTTCCATTTGTCTATCGATCTGTGAAACTCAGATCCATAGCAGCGACATGAGAATAGAGAATGAAATCTAATGGAGTACTTTTGAAACTGTTATTTATTCAGTGACATATCTTAAAGGTTCTTGGATAGATTTGGCTTTTTATTTTGGATTGTCTTTACTTTTATCGAACTATTCTTACATGCCTAGAACAATCTGAAATGAAATCACTAACAAAAAATTATATTTTGAAAAATGGTGAAAGTGCGTCGCGTATGGTGAACGGTCGCATTCACCTTATCCAACAATTCAAGCACTATAAACAACAGGTATGAGACTGCTACTGATAACCTCATATCTGTCGTAATTCAAACATCAACTTCCACTGAACATTAATATCATCTGGTCTATCGTGCATTACTAGGTTTTTGCAGGGAGACTGGACCCAGGATATAATTTTACTTTCATAGATCCTTGTGGCAAAAAGACCAACTCCTCAAGAAAAGTACTATAACTCCAATCCTCATTTTTTCTCATTTTTTTTTCGATACAAGTATTTTTTTTTAATTTACAGTATATTTTCGGAAACATGCACGTCTGCAAACAATATACATTTATCTCATAGTTCTCAAAAATCAAAAATTTTCGCGGGGTAATCCTTTCGTCACCTATGACGTGGAACCAAAATGGCATCAAGTAGGTTGACTCTGCACTTATTATGCATCGTCATCAATTCATAGAGGATCAAATTCAGCACACGTTAAATCCTCTGAGAAAAAAATTCGTTACGAACATAAACAATAGAGAAATTGGACGGATCAAGTCAGTCAAACAGGTCCATAGACCTGCTTTACCGGCAGTAGCGTCTATCTGGCAACGTTGCCACTGCCCTCATCTAAAGCCATGACACGTCAGCATGGTACCACTGCAGTTCTGGCACAACACCCAACCAGACCGGCACGCCCGCGAGTGAAACCATAGAGCATAATGTGTCTCTATCATCAAATTTTAAAGATACATGTACGGAAAAACAGTATAATGTGTGAAATGTAGATATACCCTCCCCCACTCCTAAATTTTTTACCTCTATATTTTTTTTTCAAAAATGATTAGAATCCCCGGATCTTCTAGAACGTCTAGCAACAGCGTTTAAACCGATTTCTATTTTTTTCATTTTTGGCCTTCTTTAAAAATTTTATCAAAATACTCTGCAAGATAAAGTCGGACCAAGCATATGCGGACACACAGGCTAACAGACTGACAGACAGACAGATCTACGGAAATGAGTGACATGGTTTTTCATGATGTACATATCCAAAAAACAAATATCTCATTTTCGACTCTTTTGCGCTTGCCCATTAGCGTAATACGTAAAAGCACACAATTATAGAATTTCCAAAGGTCCCTACTTTCTAGGCTTCGTCTCCTCACTATTACTAATAGATAAACCTATATTCGCGTATCTGTATCTTACGTCACCAAATATAATTAAAATAATTGTTTCTTTGTCAGTTAAAATGCAAAACACATTATAATATCCATACAACCACATATTAGTTACCGAATATAACGTTCTCCAAAATAGACCAAACAGTATATCAGTATTACTCCTTGATAAAAAAATAAATTCTAAGCGATTTGGTAGCGAGCACTTGGTAGACGCGTAATGCACCCGTACGCTCCCGAGATGAATCCCGTCGATTTTTCGGGACGCAACTGGTGGCAGTCTCCCAATTTTACCGCCAGTTGCTTCTAAATGCCTTCCCACCGCCTTCCACGCGACTTATCATACGATTTATTGTGCGTGTTCCTATATGTTAAAAATATATGCGGCCGTATCACAATCAACCCGATTGTCCCGTGACATCACATCACATGACATGTTTTGGTGTGAGGAACGTCATAGTGTGCTGGGATTGTTAGGATTTTAGTAGAATATAGTGTGACGTGGGCTTACTCCAAAATGTAGGTTGTTGTAAGATTTAAAACCGAGTGTGATGATCTGAATAATCGATTAGGTAAACTACGAGGTCTGTAAATTAAGTTTTCAGACTGATTTTTTTATTCAAATATAGTTACAATGACCTGCAAAATGACATTCTTCTGAAGCCACGCAACGATGGAAATGGTTCTTCCACTACTTTTTCACAAAAAAAATCGCTACAGACAGCCAAATGACTCGGGCGAGTTCAAACTTGTACTGAAGGCGAATCACATGTTCCCCTGTCGCCCCTCCAAGCCGGGCGCCTCCAATGTTGCCAGATCTAACGCTACGTTGCCAGTTTTACCACATAATTTACAGAACTCCTATGTCTAAGATGCTTTAAAGGAACTAAGCTAGTATCCAGAGCCGGATCCAGAAGAAAAGTTGTGGGAGAGAGCTGGTGCAAGGAAAATGCGATGTTGTGTCGATGGGGAACAATTTTATTGGAAATGCGAATATAAACAGCAATTTTAGACATTCAAATCAATTCGATGTTTGTCCATTTCAGAAAAAATATTTCTAACACTCCTTCTGATGTAACCTCATTGTTATATTTTACATTAAAAAGAGCCAATTTCCTACTAATTTTTACCAGATTTTATTCAACTTGACCTGTTTGTTAGTGTTACACATATCTCGGAACTTAATTTTAAACCAATTTAACCAATTGAGTTGAAATTTTGCACACACGCTTGGTTTTCTTGACAGTACAAAATCAATTACTCGTCGCCATTTTGAATCCAATATGGCGCATTATACAAAATGGCGATTTATCTTTTTTATAGTTTAATGACGATTTACATTTTTCATAGTTACCTCTATGATATAGGTATCAAATAAAAGACATTGATGAGAGAACTGCAATAAGCGAAGTGACGTCATTCTACAAAATGACGGTATACGATTTACAGAGTTACCCCTAACTATGGGTATCAAATGAAAGGCCTTGCTGAGGGGAACATAGTAAAGAAAATGAAGTAAATTAAATATGGCTGTCGCCGCGGAACGGCAATTAATTATTTTCATGGTCAACGTTGCGATATGGCTTAATGAAACAGTAAGCAAATAACATTATAAATTCCATATCGCGATCACCGCAAAATATCGATTTATCGTTATATGATTCATATACAAATAAAGTAAGAAGTTTTTTGGAGTCCAGTTAATAAAATATACGAAAATTACATATAAGTTGCAAAACTAGCTATTTGACATCACAAATGCTAAAAAGTAAAAAAGAAATATAAAAGAAACGTTTTTAAAAACAAGGTTTTATTCAGCTGTTAATATAGCGAAGTAAAAATTTAAAAATAATTTTTTCGATTGGGAATATTTAAGCGATAATGAAGCCCCTGTTACCTACGTTTTGACAGTTGGACGGAAAAATGGTGTGACACCCTTTAGTTTGAAAACTTTAGATGCATGAGCTTCATTATAGTTTGAATATTTTTAATCGGAAAAAAATAATTTCAAACTTTTAGTTTGTTTCATCAACAGCTCAAGAGGCTTCATAAAAAACTGATAGAACTGTGTATATGCAAAATTCCCATTTTCGTCTTCCGGTTGTCAATGAAATTTGGTGCATTTGGTTTTTGAAGCATTGATTTTGAATGTGACCATCAAAAAGATAGAGCGTCTTGGAGTTAAGTTTGACGTGGGAAATGAGTTGCTTGTGCTCTCACAGGCATTTCAGCTTCAAGCTGACTTCGGATTTGAAATCTTCACACCCAATTTAGTCAGTAGTTGATTCTGGTGAAGACTGTATCCTGGATAGAGAATAGTTGTTCAGCTTTAGTTCGTTGTCCTAACCTGAGACCAAGCCTAGACCATGCTGATGAGTCGCGAAAACGCACGAAACAGCTGTCCGTGGTTGGCCGTCTGTGGTCGGATGAACGAAAGCTTATTACTAAATTATAGGTCTACAACTCCTGAAGCATAAGACTCCATTGTCTAACCGACTCAAAACCACATATATGTTCAGATTTTTGTTTATTTTACGACGTTTCGACCACCACTGTGGTCTTCATCAAGACAATTGACAATTCTATAACAATATACAGTGAAAGCTCTCCTTGCGGACAGCTCCTATAAGCGGACATCTCTTTTAACCGGACAAAGTTCCTGGAACCGAATTTCAGCCATCAATTTTCAATGTTAAATGCATTCCGATAAACGGACGCTCTTATAAACGGACGCGGACACTAGATTTTCCTGTATGTGATCAAAAAATCTCCCATAAGCGGACGCGAAACTCTAATACCCGGACGACCCCCAAAATCTTAAATGGAAAGGGGGGTCGAGTGATACCTTATTTTAAAGGTCTTTCAATTCCCTTTATAATAATGTAAAATACATGAGCTTCAGTTCAGTAGTTTTGAAGATTTATTGATTCAAAGCTTAAAGTAGACTTTAATAGGTACATCAGATTAGTTTGTACTACTTTCAGAAGAAATTTGACTAAAAGAATTTACGTAATAAGTAAATGCTTTTCTTCACTACGCCCATGGTTTTTTTATTATTTTGTTGTTGTTTTTTTGTGGCAAACAAGTTATTTCTTGAAGAAAGATAAGGAAATATCTCGTACTTATTTTAAATAGGAATTTAGTACATAGTTTGCGATTGATTTGACCGAACTTTGTTGCTAAAATAACTTGTAACGCTTTGTTACATAAAAAGATGTGTTAACGTGTTTTTTGCCAGCCTTGTGTCCCCCTCGAAAACAAAATCGACGGGTCTGAGCGTTTTTCCAAAAAAAAAACTGAGCTGCCAGTAAATATGTCTGATTTGTTTTCGAAGCGCCACCCTGTATATTCCCTCTACTGCAATACATGATTTGTGTCAATCGAGTTCGTAGTGTTCCCAAAATAGTCGTTGAAACTTGAAAAAGAGCATTTTTGAAGCTTTTTTGAAAATTATCGTCGTTTATTAACTTTCTATCTAAGCTTAAAGATAACTTTGTCACTTACATATCGAAATTTTTGCTACTGTAATAATGTCAATGAGTTGTTTGCTGCACTTGGAGACACTCATGATCCGGACGAGTGGCATCTATTTATTGATAGTAGCAAGTACATTGTTAAGGCGGTTTTACTCCAAGAAACCATCGATTATCGTTGCCCATTCCACAAATGTAAAAGAAATATACGAGACAATGAAAGAGCTACGTCAACTGATTAACTTCTTTTCGCATAACTTAAAAATATGCTGTGACTTGAAAGTCTTGATTATCCCCCGTTGCATATGAAACTTGGGCTTAGGAAAAATGTTGTCAAAGCTTGCGAAAAACACAGTTCTAGAATACTTGAGAACCGAGTTTCCGAAACTGTCAACAGAGAAAATCAAAGCACGTATTTCGTCGGTTCACAGATTAAAAAATTGTTTACTGACAAAGAGTTTCAACAATGCTTGAACAATTCCGAAGCTAAAGCTTGGGGAGATTACCAAAAAGTTGTTCATGGATCCTTGGGAAACAACAGGAGCAAGAACGAGCGTCAATTAATTCAAACAACGATGAAAAACGTCAATGCTACTGATATAGTCGTAATAAAAAATATAAAAAAATAACATTCAACTTTTTTATGCTTACAGGTGCTCGCAAGTCTTTGAGAATTCACCTACTTGACAGTCATTTGGATATCTTCCCTCCGAATTTGGGTGCTGAAGGTGATGAACAAGGCGATCGATTTCATCATGACTTTGCTGCGATTGAAAAGCGTTATAAAGGCTTTTGGGATCAAAGAATGATGAGCGTATATTGCTGGATGCAACTTCGTGAAGATTCCACGCAACATGACAGAAAAAGTTTGAGAGTAAAAGCGTATTCTATACCCTAAATGTAACTGTGTCAAATACTGTAAAATCGCATGTGTTCAAATTACGCGTCGTAACTCAAAAAAGCTTCAAAAATCTCTTTTTTCAACTTTCAACGGCTATTTTATGTATTATATGTGGCTTTAAAAAGTTACACACCTAAAAATGTTCGCTACCCTTTTCAAAAATTCAGCGAATAACTGCAATATGGCACAAAAAACACGTTTTTTGCAAAAGTCTCGTAAACGGTTCTTTGGAAAATAAATGCGAGTCATCTTCGTTTTCAGCGACTTCAACTCAGTCTGAAAAACACCTTTTTGTATATTTTTCGTGTAAGCTTGTGTTATCTGTCGTTTTTTATGTACCAGAAACGTTAAGAAAACAAAAGTGTTACCTGTAACTTGTACTTGCAAAAAGCAAAGACCACAGTGGTGGTCGAAACGTCGTACAATAAACACAAATTTAAACATATACAGTGCTTTTCTTTAATGTCCCCTCCCTTTTATTTTTTGAACGGATCAATTCAAAAGTTAAAACTTGAGTCCTATTATACTCATAGGTCTTTGTAGGGCAAAATTTGTAGTTTTATATCCTGCTGCTGAAGAATCAATGAAACTTAGTACACGTTGTTGACTTGAAGCTAAGAATTCCAAGGTGACATTTTAAAAACTCGCGAAGTATCGTGGAACTGAAATTAAGGTATGAAGTGCATTACTTGAGACTCAATGGGTTGTAGTATCTAGTGTCCTTACTGCCGGAAAACACGTCGCTCCAAGCCGAGATTCTCAATGCTGTAGAAAAAAATCTATTTACGAAAAATACGAAAAAACGCATTTTATAGTTACATAATCTTGGAATTTTGATTCTTATTCATAAGTTTTTGAAAACAGAATATCACACAAAATACGCAAACAAACATTTGTTGAAAATAATATATGACTTTATCATCCGCTTTTAAAATACAATAACTCATATCCTTACAGTTATAGCGATATATTTTGCCGCAAGATTGATTTTTTTGGCAACCGTTCATGTTTTTATTGTTAATGGGAGGTTGCGCAAGGATCTATTTACTATGATGTCCAAATAGTAATTAAGCGAGTACGACCAATTAATAAATATTTGCAAGAATATAACCAAGGCTGATTTTATGAATAGGTGTACTACACGTGGCTCTTTGGAAACACAAGTAGTAGTATAGAAGTACCGTATTCTACCTGAAGATAGCTAACATAATCAATTTCTAGTAATTAATTGGATTTGGGGTCTAAAGAAACACAATTTCCTGTTACAAAGTTGCGCTAACCTTACATATACAGGGTGCGGCAGAGAGGATGGACGGTTTTAAAAAAATCAGAAAATAGTTAATTTTTACTCCAAAACAAATTTATTGATGGAATCAGGTTCACAAGGAAATAGTATTCGAGACAGTCAAGTGTGGAAAATCACATCAGGCATGTGGTGGCCCAAATCGTTGATGCAGTGCTGGAGGCGTTCTTGGAAGTTCGCGTAGACTCTCTCCAAGATCGCTCTCTCAACTTGGGCGACTTCCACGCGAATTTCGCCCTTCAATTCGTCCAGAGTTCGGGGCTTGTTCGCGTATACTCTAGCCTTGAGGTGTCCCCATAAGAAAAAATCGCATATGGATAAATCTGGGGACCGAGGAGGCCAATGAACATCGCCAAACCTGGAAATAAGGCGGAAGAGAGGGCGAATAACGTCCATGGATGCTCGGGCTGTGTGGGTGGTCGCCCCATCCTGCTGGAAAAACACACGTCGGATTGGAACTCGTCGCCGACCTAATTCAGGCAGAAAGAAGTTGGTGATCATGTCGACGTAGCGCTCTGAGTTCACGGTAACATCACGACCATCACCCTCTTCGAAGAAGTAAGGGCCAATGATGCAAGTTTGCGATACGGCGCACCAAACTATTACTTTTGGGCTGTACAGCAGTCTTTCGTGTAACTGTTGCGGATTTTCATTAGCCCAATAACGACAATTCTGCTGGTTAACCATGCTGTTTGGGTGAAAGTGGGCTTCGTCACGCATAAGCGAAAACGCAGTGCTCCATCGTCCAAGGCTCCATAACGACAACTGGTAAAATAATGCTAGGATCTCACGAGTCAAACGGTACCCTCCCCACCTCTCTCGTAGACGGAGGCGGAGAGTACTACCCATCCTAAAAACGTCCGTCCTCTCTGCCGCATCCTGTGCATTAACAATAAAAACGATGTAAAATATACTTATTTTAGTTGAGACCTTATATGAAATGAACTACTGAAACATTAACAACATAGCAATTCCCAAAATAATAAAACAAAAACAAAAAAGGTTGAAATTAATCGCAATTTAGTTGGAATTCAAAACGAATGAAAAGTTCTTTTTTGTGTTTTATTATCTGATCAACAGCCAAAAAATATCCTAAATAAAATCAACAAAATATTACTATTTTTAATGTGCTAAAACCGGAATGAAACTTATTTTTTCAATATTAGTTCAAGTTTTAGAGTTACGGTAATTATATGTGTTCCTGCTGTGACAGTTTTAATGTACTGTAATTCACAAGAATGCACGTGCTACATTTTTATATTCGGCAAGGAAAGATGATGTAATCGGCATGATTGTGTTACGTTATACATACGTGTACATTATATTGTTTTATATTAGCCATTTTTCCTCTGTTGGCTGACAGCGTTCATGCAAGATGTCACGAAAGTGTGTAAACAATCCAGATCAGTTTTGTTATAGTACGTGTGTGGTGATGTGACTTTTGCGTCTCAGAGACGGTCTGTTACTCCACTAATAACAAAGGCATATCAGCTTTATTTCGGTTGTAAACTAGGTGATCAAGACAAACAGTGGGCACCCCACATCTGCTGTAATACATGTGCTTCAAGTCTGAGGAGCTGGTTAAATGGCAAAAAACGGTCTATGCGCTTTGCTGTCCCAATGGTTTGGAGAGAGCCTACAAATCATATTAATTATTGTTACTTTTGCATGGTACCTTGTGTTGGACAAGCCACAGGTATGTCCAAGAAAAAAAATCGGTTATTAACTACCCAAGCATACCATCTGCGATGAGACCTGTGCCTCACAGTGACGAAAATCCTATTCCAAAACCCCCAGAATCCTACACTTGCGAATCAGAAAACGAATCAGATCATGGCGATCGAGTGATTCGTCAGGAAGAAGATATGCCATCAACGTCAAGAGATGCTGATTTTATACCGAGCACGTCATGCCACCAACCGCACAAAATAACACAGTCAGAATTAAATGATCTTGTAAGAGATTTAGAACTTCCAAAATGTAAGGCAGAGTTACTTGGATCAAGACTGCAGCAGTGGAACTTGTTAGAAGACGATGTTTCGGTATGTGTTTTTCGTAAACGCCACAAAGACTTAGAACCATTTTTCAATATTGAGAATAACTTGGTTTTCTGCAGTAACATTAACGGCTTACTGGCGGCTTTAAATATAAACTATAACCCAGAAGAATGGAGATTGTTTATAGACAGTTCAACATTGAGTTTAAAGGCAGTGTTATTGCATATTGGAAATATTTTACCATCTCTTCCTGTGGGGTATGCAGTTCACATGAAAGAATCATATGACAATATGAAGTACCTATTGATATGCATAAAATACGATGAGCACCAATGGCATATTTGTGGCGATTTGAAAGTTGTTGCACTTTTACTTGGGCTGCAGCTAGGCTACACAAAGTTTTGCTGTTTTTTTGTGTGAATGGGACAGTCGGGCAAAGGCACTTCATTACACCAGACAAAACTGGCCTGTTCGTCAATTCCTAGAGCCAGGTCAAAAAAATGTACAGCATATGCCATTAGTGGATTCGAAAAAAATTTTATTACCACCACTGCATATCAAGTCGGGCCTAATGAAAAACTTTGTCAAGGCATTAGATAGAGATGGGTCAGCTTTTCAATACCTGCGTCAGAAATTTCCAAGACTAAGTGACGCAAAGGTTAAAGAAGGTATTTTTGTTGGGCCACAGATTCGAAATATTTTGAAAGATACACAGTTTGAAAACACTTTAACAGGTATTGAAAAAACTGCTTGGAATGATTTCCGTCTGGTGGTCACTAATTTCTTGGGAAAAGCTGACAACTATAAAACCCTTGTCAAAAATATGCTGTCATCGAATCAAAATATGGGCTGTAATATGTCTCTTAAGATACATTTCCTACACTCGCACTATACTATACTCGCGCGTTCTAGAATTATCCGAGATGACATGAGCATCATCTATGAGAAGCCGTCCCAGTTATCTGTTTTCTCTCTGCAATAATTACAAATTCCGACTTATTGAGCCATATTCATAAAAGAGAAGCATATCCTCGGAAGCATAAGGTAAAAGTATAAGGTCTTGCTTCGGAGAAAAAGGTAGAAGTATAAGCATAACCTTGTTTTCATAATGATTACCTTTTACTCGCGAGGATATTCTCCAAGAAGAAGTAAAAGGTTGACCGGTATTTGTATCTTGAGCGACATGTCCTGACTTGTTCCAGCTTGTAGTTGACGAGGGAGTTCGTTCACTCAGCATCACTGACAGTTGTACTCCAGAGCTTACACAGACCGTTGCGTATTTTTGCTGGATACAGTTTTTTATCAAATTAACAAGCATGTCATCCTCAAGTGATGAGGAAACTATAGAAAATAATGGCAACGACCTGCAGTTCATCGCAAATGAAATTGCCATTGCTCCCATTTTGCAAAAGTCACAAGTACCAAAAATAAAAATGAGAAAGGACGATCCCTTGAAGATGTTGAAAAAATACGAATCAACATTCGGTAAACCATTAGATACTAGGCTTATTAAATCAAATTAACAACATGAAATCAAGATTGAAGAAATAAACCTATCTAACAAGAATTGGTAATAAAGCAATTAAATTGTTAGATTGGGAAAGAAAGTTGCTGAAAGCTATGGAAGGTGACTGTAATCCTACAATTGGGAAAATTAGAGATGCCATTCAGGTTGGTAGTGTTCAAGATGAAGGATTAGCAACAGAGAAATTCGAAACTGAGGAAACCAAAGGGTTAACTACAAAAGAACTGCAACGTCTAGTCCTATTAAAGCAGTATCAAACAAGTATTTTACAACAAGATTATTATAAAACGAAATTAGAAATGATGCAGCGTCAGAAGCCACCTGTAACTTATGATGTTCACGAAAATAAAACTTATTATAACTTATAAATACACTTTGATCAGTAAAACTATTTATTATAATACTCAAGCTTCCTCTTATTTGTTGACTTAGTTGGCGGAGAGGAAGTTCGTCATTCTCATGATTTCCTTCATCTTCATCTGGGTCTTGTTCAATTAACTCAAAGTCAGGATCGCCCAAGCTTTTCGCAACATTATGGAGTAAAATGCAAGCAATAATTATTTTCGGCACATTTTCGAGCTTTACGCGGCAAACATACTGTAGGACCGGAAACCGGCGTTTCAGTTGGCCGAAACAGCGTTCAATTATAACTCTTTCTTGTTTTAAAAGCTTATTATAATTTATTTCGGCACCTGGAGTAGGATTTCTGAAGGGAGTTATAAGGCATGGCTCAATACCATAACTGTCATCGCCAAGTAGTACAACATTTGCTTTATTTATTAGTTGTGATCTAGTCTGTGAATTTCTCCGTATTCTAACCGATATAATTTTTAGAAGTCACGACCAAGTGGATTTAAACGAGGTTTGTACGTTTTAACATCGCTAACATCCACAATTTTCGCCACCGTCGTTTGACCACCTTTCGTTACGAAGTTGAGTCTGCTACTGACCACACTCAGAATTTTTAAAGGATATGCTTCCTACGCCAAGTATAAGGTGAAGATTATGAATATCCTTTTACTTATGTCACTGCTTTGAAGGATATGCTTATACTCAAAAAGTAAAATCACTTACTTCAAATTATTATAAATACCATCTGGAGGATTTCCTTCAAAATTTGCAAGTACAAGGATATCCTTTGCTTTATGAATACCGCTCCATGTCACTTTTCAAGATACGTGATACCCGTGCCGATCTGCTCTTGTCCTTAGCGATGCTACCGCCTTTCTAAGTTATAATCGTTGCTCAAATGTTGCCTATTATCGTTCAATCATCGCGTAACTAAATTCTATTGGATTAGAGCCACGTTAATAGAAGACAAAAATCTTAATGACACCTTTCTATTTATATCACTTTCATATACATATATATGTTCTACTGTCTGCACCGCACTCTAAAATAATTTAATCTACGTAAAACATAAGTTTATGGCCAAGGCTGACCTATACATAGCCACACGTGACGCGCCTCATATGTGAAATATTAAAAATCAGATTTTCACGAGTTTGAAAAATATTTTTATTCTCTAGACGTGAATTGACACGTGTTTATTAAGGTTTGATTTACGGTAGCTTCGTAGCTAGTGAAGCAAAATTTTGTGGAGTGAATATTTAAAAAATTGTAGATGTTAAAATCTGTGGGGTTATTACGTAAAAAATCTATAGAATGTCAAACAAATCGGTAGAATGTCAACTTGTGCACTAGGTAACTGCTAGTGTGCCGCTGGTTCATTCCGGGCTTACTGTAAGTGAGCATGAGGTCAATGTCAGCTACTTCAAAGGCGATATTTTATAAGAAAATGCCATAAACAATCGAATTCACTTTTTAAGTTACGTAATACGGATGCCATAGGTAGAAAAGTTACTATTATGTCGTATGTACATATTGGGCCAAAACGTTGGGTGGCACTTGACCAGCTTGTAGGATACGATACAGGGTGCGCTTGATAAATAATGCCGAGTGACGCTCCAGTTTGTTTTTTCCATTTTTTCCGAACAAAGTCCCCGATGACTCTGCAACCTCTAACCTTGCTCCTCGATCTAGCTGTGTAGTGTTCTGTACAGTTTTCCTGTCGGTACTGTTCTAAGCTCCCTCGGTTCAAGCTTTGGTTTCCTGGAGCGCCTCGCACTCACACAAGACATGTAGGGCTGATGTTGTTCCTTTTCCGCATTGTCTGCGCCTAAGGCCTCCATAGTTCAGCCCTTTTTTGCTCAGTAGTCATTTCAGGCCATTGTATCCTGTTAGAAGCCCTGTATCTATACGGAGTTGGTTTCTCCTCAGTGAAAGCAGCTGCGTGTTATTTGGACATGGTCCCGAGATGAATTTCTTCCCATACTTACATACAGTCGCTAAGTGCCAATGTTTCTTGTGCCGGTTTCTTACTCAATCATTGACTCCTCCGATGCAGGTTCTGAGCCCGAAAAGGTTGTTATTTATTATACAGGGTGCGGCAGAGAGGACGGACGTTTTTGGGATGGGTAGTACTCTCCGCCACCGTCTACGAGAGAGGCGGAGAGGGTGCCGTTTGACTCGTGAGATCCTAGCATTATTTTACCAGTGCCTTAGTGATCGTTCGGTAAGGCGAATTTTGCATATGGATCTCCGCTTTCACCCCTACAAATTGGCCATTGTGCAACAGTTACAGCCCGGAGATTATGCACAACGAATGAACTTCGCACGTGAGATGGAAGCACTGATCGATCAAAAGCCCCGAACTCTAGACGAATTGAAGGGCGAAATTCGCGTGGAAGTCGCCCAAGTTGAGAGAGCGACGTTGGAGAGAGTCTACGCGAACTTCCAAGAACGCCTCCAGCACTGCATCAACGATTTCGGCCACCACATGCCTGATGTGATTTTCCACACTTGCTGTCTCAAATGCTATTTCCTTGTGAACCTGATTCCATCAATAAATTTGTTTTCGAGTAAAAATTAACTACTTTATGATTTTTTTAAAAACGTCCATCCTCTCTGCCGCACCCTGTACAAGAGAAAAAAACGCGCAGCGGAGACAGACAAATAACCGAAATCTGAAATCTAATATTTTCCAGTGTATAATAGACAATTTTTTTCTGTGGCGGGAAAAACGACGATTTAAAACTGAAAAATTATATTATTACAATATTTAAGTCAGAAAATTATCGATGTGAAATTTGAATTTTGAAATTGGTAGGGCTATGTTGTACTTATAGCGACAATTAGACCTGCGTTGCTAAGGAAATTTTTAAAGTAATCAAATAGCTGTCAATTTAATTTTGTGATTTGATTTAAAAATTGTGAACTTAGTGGTTGTTTAAAAGTTATTTTTAATACTATAAGGTAAAAAATATCTGATTCCGAGTTTTCTTTGACTCCACCGGAATTAATAGAAGTAGCCAAAGTAGCGTCACAAAAATTATTGCCAGCTAAATCGCGGAAAATTTACGAAAACGCGTATTCAAGATTCATGGAATGGAACATGAAAAAAACATGCAGTTCTTTGTCGGAGGCGGTGTTATTGGAATATTTTTTGGAAAAATCATTATTCGGGAAAAAAGTAATTTCATAAAAAGTGACATTTTGTCACCTGCCAACAGAGATAAAATGTCAAACTTTTTTCCCGTAATTGTAGCATATTATAAGATGTGATTGAATGGAATATGTCACTGGCTTTTGACATCTGACAAGCCTCTGTTATTGAAATCTGTTCGTTGTGACATCTTTTTCATTTTTTAATTTTTACAAACTTGTTAATAATGGTGAATTATTCAAATGCAGAAATGGCGGAAATGCATTACGTATATGGCCTTGCCGACGGTAAAACTGAGCAAGCCAGACGAATTTATCACCAGAGATATCCCGATCGTGCTGTGCCAGATAGTCGAACCTTTTCTAATATTCATCGTCGTCTTGTTGAAACTGGTTCTGTCCGAAAAGGAACATCTGATGGTAGACCTCTAAGTGTGAGAACACCTGAAATTGAGGAAGCAGTGCTGTACGAGGAAGATCGCTACATACTTAAATATTTGCCATCAAATTGTTTGGAGAATTTTAGTGGATTTTCGTATATCCTTAGCATTTTTTAAGAGTACAGGCATTACTTCCAATTGATTTTCCAAGGCGTGTGACCTTTTGTCAGTGGTATCTTCAAAAAATTACACAAAATCCGCAATTTGAATCAATGATTCTGTTCGCGGACGAAGCTGATTTTTCTCGAAATGCCATTCAGAATTTCCACAATAATCATTTGTGGGCAGACGAAAATTCCTATGCCGTAACTGAAACCCATTTCCAACACCAATTTTCGGTTAACGTATGGGCAGGAATTATTGGCAATCACTTTATTGGCCCATTCTTCTTGCCGGGACGACTTGACGGACAGACTTACCTCAATTTTCTTCAACAACAGTTGCCTTTGCTGCTTGGTGATGTTCCGTTAGTAATAAGAAACAATATGTGGTACATGCATGATGGTGCACCAGCGCATTTCAGTGTACCGGTTCGTAATTATTTACAAACTGTTTATCCAAATCGTTGGATTGGCCGCGGTGGGCCCCAATAATGGCCACCAAGGTCCCCAGACCTCAACAGTTTAGATTTCTTTTTTTGGTTGCAGCTTGTGATAGAATAAAAAACACTCCAGGGATATTTCAACGAGTGCGCAATTCCATGAGAAGGAGGGCGGAAGCATGCATACCAAGTGAAGGGGGCTATTTTCAATAATTTTTATAATCATTTTGTTGGTTTTAATGTTATATTTATGTTTGCAG